GCTGATGCCTGGGCCAGAGGCATCAGGCCTGGGTGGGGGGCGGACCCGGGGATTGGGGGGATATGATGGTCCCCTTGCCCAGGCCTGAAGCCTGGGTCAGAGGCATCAGGCTTGGGCGGGGGTCACAGCCGGTGATCGGGGGGAGATGGGGGTCCCCTGTCCAAGCCTGACGCCTCTGTCAGAGGCGTCAGCCCTGGGCAAGGGGCCCATCCTGTGATTGGAGGGTGATGGGGGTCAATGCCTGAGGGCTCCCAGTATGTGAGAGGGGGCAGGCTGGGCTGAGGGACACTCCCCCCACACACACCCAGTGCACGAATTTCGTGCACCGGGCCCCTAGTAGTTCTATAATGACTGTCATATATTTTCCCTCAATTTCTATATTCTTTATTTCTTTCAAAATACACAGATGTGTGTGAACATACATACACACAGTGATCTGCATACGTGTAACTTTTTCTCTGGTAATTAGTAAAGGGTCCACTATCTTTTCTAACTGGATCACATTCCTAGGGAGATGGCCCTCCTTTGTTGCCCAGATGGTGGAGGGTGCATTTAGCTCCATTTATTTTGCGTTTCTCCCTGGGATGCACCCTTCCTGGCATTCCTCTGATCCTTCGACATCCTGATTCACAAGACAATGTGACCAAATGACTTTCTATATTTTGTCTCTCTGTTCTCATCTATAAACTTCTTCAATATGTAAATGCATTCGAATTTACTAGAAATGAGCATAGCTTGACCACAAAATAATATAAATGCAAAGAATTGTCAATTTCTAATAAAAAACGCATGCAGTGTTAATTAGGGAACACTAGGGAAGAAATTTTTCTTTCTGTTCTTTGAACAATCTTGAAGGAAACACAGATTATTGCTAGCAGAATATGGCTTACCTGAATGTATTATAATCCATCATCTTTGTGAAGTCACAATCAATAGCCCTAAATATCTGCTTGATCTCTCTGGCTTTTGATTTTTCAGCTTTCAGCTTTTGTAGGGCACATTCAAGGTTGCTATAAGGAAACTGGAAGGGAGAAAAGAACGGATAGATATTTAAATATGCCTGGGACATAGGCAGCCCAATCTTTCTGATGGCGAGAAAAAAGACATCACATTGTGAACCTGAAGTTAGCTGGGCATGTCTTTCCATAGAGATCAACACAGAGAAGACATGACTATATTTTTACCTCTTCAGTGAAGGCTTTAGGACTAAGGGTGACATTAGCCTAAGCCCAGATCTCAGAGAAATGAGCTGAAGGTATGGCAGGCCACGGGAATCAGAAAACCAACAGCTACTTCTATCTCAGCCTCCTCCCTTTAGCCCTTAGACATTGGCCTAGTATGTTGGGAGACCCTAATGGAGAGAATAGGGATTCAAAATTGGATAAGAGGACCCCCCATTTTCTCCAGATCTTCAGAGTGAGCCCCTGAAACTGCTGGCCAGCACACAATGCACTTAGCAGAACAAGGCTGGGTGTTAAAGTGTCCACACACACTGAAATCCCCTTTCAGTCATTCTCCAGGCATCCCCCAGTTTCTGCCTGCTACTCTGTGATTCAGTTTTGACTCTGTAAGAATACTCCTTAGTCAATGCAGTAAAGCAAAAGGTTGTAAATTAATTACAGCTCAGAGCTAAAAAAATATCAGAAGACTAAATATAAAAGTAATGTGGATGATAATTTAGCATAAAGTCCTCTCTCTTCCACCAGAGGGTTTGGCACCTATTACAGCCCCCCATTCCCTCCTTGCTTTACATTTCCTTTCATCTATTGCCATGATAGGATCTGTGAGCTCTTTTGAAAAGACTCCTCAGACTGATATTAAAGAGTATATTAATCTTTCTCTGTTTAGAATGTCCTTGTTAAGGGCAGTTTTACAATGAAGTTTTCACTTGGGATGCTGATACCAGATGTCCAACCCTGCTTTTATCTTTTTGAAAGGAGAAAAGCCCTTTATATCTTAAAATAAATTAATATATATATATTCATTATTTCTTATATATATGCATTTTTACCAACTGTAATTAAAAATAAATTTCAAAAACATATATATATATATACACATATATATTCATGATATATATATACAGTTGGCCCTTGAACAACACGGGTTTGAATTGCATGGGTCCACTCTACCTGGATTTTTAAACATAAATGCTGTAAATGTATTTTCTCGTCCTTATGATTTTCTTAATACCATTTTCTTTTCTCTAGATTACTTATTATAATAAAATACTATATAACATACAATATATGTTTAAGGACTGTTTATGTTATTGATTGGTAAAGCTTCCAGTCAATATTAGGCTATTAGTTGTGTGTATTATTAACTGTGTGTGGGAGGATCTGAGCCCCTAACCCCCATGTGGTTCAAGGGTCAACTGTATTTTATAGAAAGGTGTAGGCTTACCCTGTGTTTGAATATCGAACCCTAATTTATAATAGATATTGTAAATTATACATTGACTGAGCTCGCTATGGGCCAGAAAGTGTTAAGCACTTCACACACATTACCGCATCTAATCTTCATAGGAAGTCTATAAAAGAGACCCTGACCTTAGCCTGTTTGGCTCAATGGATAGAGCATCAGCCCATGGACTGAAGGGTCCCAGGTTCCATTCCAGTCAAGGACACATACCTCGGTTGCAGGCTTGATACCTGACTCTGGTCGGGGCCCAGTGCAAGAGGCAACCAATCTATATGTCTCTTTCACCCTGATGTTTCTCTCTCTACCCCTCTCCCACTCCTTCCACTCTCTCTAAAAATCGATGGAAAAATATCCTCAGGTGAGGATTAACAACAACAACCAAACAACCACAAGCAAAGTACTGTGGGAACCGAGAGAGAGAGAGAGAGAGAGAGAGAGAGAGAGAGAGAGAGGCATTTTGCTACTCCCATTTCATAGATGAGGAAAGTGAAGCTCATGAAAGTTACATGTCTAAAGCCCCTCAACTATTAAGTGTAGAGTCAGGTTTCCAAGACAAGCCTACTGGTCTCCAAAACTCTAACTGCCCTATTACTGAGCCTCTCACATGAATTCGGTGCTTTTGAAGAGATACTGGTTCACAGTTTGACAATAACCTGAATTCTTAACACTGCAAATGAGAAGACGGTGTGAGAGCCCCGGGCATGCTACCTGGGCTTACCTTCAGAGAGACTGGATACAGAAGAGCACTGTTAGGTCATAGCTCTCAGCTGCTGTACCTTCAAGATTGGAGCAGTGCTCCTACTGAGGCCACACTCTTCCCAGGCTGTTCCCACCAATGACTAAGCAGGTGGGGGCACCAGAGCTGGGCCATCCTGCCTGACACGAGGCTGGATCCCCATTGGCTTGGCCAAGGAGTTCTCAGAGATTTACTAAATTTGAGGCTCTTCCTGACCCATCCTCCTTCCTTTCTTCCTTCTCCTTTCTCAGGGTTCAGACCTCTGAAGGCTCTCCCTGCCTACTCTTGTTTCCTCTACCTTTATCCTTTATACAAATTTCTTCCAGTACATCTCTTACACGTCTAAATCTGTCTTGGCATCTGCTTCTCAGAGGACCCAAACTGATATGCATGATATGATATACACTGAGAAACTGGTCTTAGCAACTTGCCCCTGAGCATTATATATACAAGTGAAACAAAATGGGCAGACTTTTCAAATAAATTGTTTCCAGATAGATTTTTCAACATTAGGAAATGATTCTTAAATATATGTTTGTTTTGCATACCAAACTAGTGCACACTTAAAATCAAGATTTTGTCAACCTGTTATTTTTACTGAAGTGCACTGCCTAATAGTACTTTTAATAACAGTATCCATCTGCCATCTTATCTCAAATGAAAAAACTCTTCGAGCTCACTGTTGCCAATTTGTTCTTGAACTCTAATTTAGGCCTCAGGTGGCTCCTGTTATGGGAAGTTGCAAACCCAGCAACTATTGGATTCCCCAGGGGATTCTGTTTGTTCAGGTCTGAGCCTTCCCTCTAGGTCGGTGCCAATTAACCGGGACAGCACAGTGTGTGGCACCAGATTTTCTTCCTTTCCTATAGTTGCTGGATTTCTTTCTGAAAACATTGTTGGCGTCAGCAGAAAACTCAGGAAACTTGATTCAACCCTGGGCCTGCCTCCTGCCTGTGCCTGGCATTTGTGATGCTGGGCAGCAAAGGACCCAGCATGTAAACAGAGTAGACCGGGACCTGGCCTCTGTGACAGGACCTGTGGCCAAGTCACGCTGATCCATTATTCATGCCCACATGTGTGAATGCACAATATCAAACGGGTGGCAAGATGGAGAAGAAAAGGCCTAGAGAAAGAAAAACACAGATTGCAGAGCGCTGACAGACAAGTCAAGAATTACACAAAGTAAATTCACCTTATCTGGATTCTCCTCCATGAATCTTAAGGTGTACTCATCAGCATTGAGCAACGTAAACAGGTAGCCATTCACGTTTATTGTGGATCCGATATACAGCTCCTCGGGCTGGATATATTCTGATAGTTCACTTTTAAAAACTTCTTGTCCAGGCCTCTTAACGCGTATTCTTTTCAAGAACAATCCACCAGTATACCCTATAGAAAAGGAGAAAAGTTAGAGTAGGCTTTATTCATGAAAGAACCATACAACGTGCCTTTAGAGTTTCTTCATGCCCAAACACAGACCATACAACTTAGCTGTGAACTCATAGTGCCTATTATTCTCAGACTGAAAGGAAGAATGGGAAAGTGGGTGAAGAAATGAGGCTCCCTAGGCAAGTGTATAAAGAAACAAGTGGCGTGGCATTCCAGCCCTTTCTTTCCTCTCTTTCCTTCCCAATCCAAACATTTAAATAAACACTTACGAGTAGCAAGTTCCTGCTATAGGCCAGCAGCATACTGAGAATTGGGACATTGGAAAGACACTCATTTTTAGTGCATGTTTGAATAATACCAGGTAGAAAATTCCTTTCTTGGGCTTATTTCCATTCATTTGACCCAGATGGTGTCTTATACCTATTCTGACATACAGATTAACTATTTTTCTTGGGCAAAATATCTTTGCTTCTTTTAGCAATGTCTCCTATTTCTTGCTTTCCAGAATTCTCCCCATTTCATCTGCTCCCTTCTGCCATGATTTGATTTTTGACTTCTTGAACAGTTAGCAGTGAACAGTTAGTTGAACATGAAACTCCAGTATCTTCTGATAGTGAACTGAAATCTCTAGACCTATGAATAAAATCTGAGAACAGATGAGCTTTTGGGGTCACCTTTACCATATTCCTCCTACCATATTCAGAATCCATAGGTGGTGGAAAGACCAGGCTTTGGAGCCAAACAGAGCTGGAGTCCATCCTGGCTTTGTCACTTGCTTGATGATCTCTGAACTTCTCTGAATTCTCATTCATAAAATAGGAGTAACATTTCTGAGGGCGCTTCTCAGATCGCCTACTATGGGGAACATCACTGATGGAGGGCCCCAGTTGCTATTTCCAAACTCTATCCCTATATTTGTGCTGAGTTCTTGCTTCCAACAGGCAGCCGTCAACAAATGACTAAGCAAGGCAAAGATACAAGGCAGGCCCATTTCTCTAAGAGAGAGGTGCCTCCACCTAGTGACTTTGACTGTAAGACTCCCAGTCAGCCTTACTGAATAAGACTTTCTTAGCATTACACTGCAATCTAAGATCTCTCCCTTTCATCCTTCCCTGTGTCCTTCTCAAGAGGCAGACATGCACTGCAGTGCGATGGCTCACCCAGCCTCTTCTGGCTCCTTCCACATTTCCCTCATCGGCATTTCCCCTAATAAATCTCCTGCACATTTAATCCCACATTGGGGTTTGCCTCTTAGAGGATAATAGTGGGTACTCAATCATGGCTGCTATTATTACTAGTAAGCTTACAGTTGACAATCAGCACCCTTTCTGTTTTACGTATGCTGCAATTTGCTTGACCATATCTTCCCCATTCTAGATGTATAAAGTTTGTTTTTTGACCTTTGAGAACATGATTAATATTCACCCGTATTTGATTTCGTATTTTAAGATTTTATCCATTATTCAAATCACTGTGGAGCCTGACTTAATTATACAAATTATTCGTTATCCATTGGTGTGCTGAGTGGCTCAAACCAGCTCATAAGGGCTGACTTTTCAACTACCAGAGATTTTGCAAGCCAGTTGTTAAACTGGTGATTTCTTGACATTGAAATTGGCCACAGTTAGGGTATTTATACCAGGGAAACTGGAAAATGGTACAAATTAGATCCTTTAAGATTTTTTCAGAGTGCCTATTAACTAGTGCACCACTGATCATTCTACCCAAACATGTGTCTTCAGTACAGATAAAAGTTTTAAACATGTTAGGAAAAAGAACAGAGCCATGCAGCTCCATAATTTGGTCAGCCAAAATCAATGGCTCTCCTCATTAATGGCCACAGTATAAGCACAATGTGTAGAGGCATTTCATGGTCCTGAGCGCTAGAACCTTGGCAACAGCCTCACTAGACAGAAAAGCCAAAAGAAGATGGACTCTGAAGATTATACTGTATTTGTTAATCTGGGACTCTTGTCTTATAATTAAGCAAAAATTGTGTAAGCGGTGCTATCGAGAATACAGATTTCCTTTTTTCTTGCTGGCTGTCAGTGAAATTGGTGGCAGCTAGTTCATGATTTTAAAGCCCTTGGATTCCACAGAGGGGTCTCCAAAGCCACAGAAAAAGTGTGGGTAGTGTCCCAAGTCCCCCTTTTGTGGAAGAGCCACACTCAAGGGGCCAAAGAGCCGCATGTGGCTCTCGAGCCACAGTTTGCCGACCACTGCCCCAGACCCAAGCCAACCAAAACTGTTCCTCTTTTACCATTTTATATGTCTGGGTTACCATCTCTAGATCTTTGTAAAATAAACATTATTGGTCCAAAAAAGTGAAAATTGCCATCTTAGATCATCTAGTATATAAAATCAGATCACATTCCCTAATTTTCAAAGTGAAGAGACAGTTAGTTGTTCTAAGGAAACTGCTATGAGCGGTGTCTCTTACCTGAATTCTTCTCTACGGGTTCAAACACTGATATTGTGTTATTGCCAAGAAAATATGAAATAACAAACAGCCTATCCGCAGTGGCACTTTTGTGCTTAGTCATTTTTGCAAAGAACCGGAGTGTATTGCTTTCATTGTCAAAGCTAAATGGAAGAGAAATGAAGGTTATAACATTGTACAAGTAATCTTGCATACACTATGTATATAAAATAAAACCTGCTGCCCTAGCTGGTTTGGCTCAATGGAGAGTATGTCGACCCATGGACTGAAGGGCCCCGGGTTCAATTCTGGTTAAGGGTGTGTACCTCAGTTGCAGACTTTATCCCCAGCCCTGATTAGAGCACGTGTGGGAGGCAACCAATCAATGCATTTCTCTCATATCGATGTTTCTCTCTGTCTCTCCCCCTCCCTTCCATTCTCTCTAAAAATCAATGGAATAGTATCTTCAGGTAAAGATTAACAACAAATAATAATAATAAAATAAAACCTTTAAAAGGTGTACTATAAAGTTTTTCATTGAGTTATAATTGACATATAACATTATATTCATTTCAGATGTATAACATAATAATTTGATATTAGTATATACTGCGCAATGATCACCATAGTAAATCTAGTTAACATCTATGACCATGCACAGTTATATATTTTTGTCTTGTTATGAGAACTTTTAAGATCTACTTTCTTAGCAACTTTCTAAAATGTAATGCAGTATTAACTACTCGAGACCTGGTGCACAAAATTCGTAATGGGTGCAGTCCCAAGGCCTGGCCAGCAATCAAAGCGTGAGCATCTGGCATGGAAGGGCAGGTCCCAGCTGACCTCTGGGCCCTGAGGAGCACCTGGGCCTCCAGACTCCGGTGTGCCCCCCTCCGCCTGAGTCACGGCGCCCGAATCCCCACACAGAGATGCAGTGAGCACGACTGGACACGGCAGGCTGGGGCACAGTGTGGGCCTCTGGGCAGCCCAGCAGTGCCACATGGAAGTGGGTGGCCCAGCACCTGGGTGCCCGGCACCTGAGCATGAGGGCTTTCCCAGTGTGCGAGCCCAGGCATCCCATGGCAGGGTAGCAGGGTGAGTGAGAGCAAGCTCAGCAGACACCCTGCATTCTCATCGCACCTCCATCCTCATCACCCCTGCCCACAGGTAGCCAGCAAGAGGTCATAGCCCCCCACTCGGGTGCTGCGGGTGGTTGGTTGCCACCACACACCCCCAGTTCCCCATCCCAGCCTGGGCTGCCCCAATTTGGCAATCAGGGCCTGCTGGCCACTGATCACTATCTGTGGAGCAATTGGTTGGGGCCAGCCACCTTCCACCCCACCCCCCACCCCACCCCGGCCTGGCTCCCTCAGCACCTGGTAGCTGGGTGGTGGAACTGCCCCCTGCCGCCGCTGCTGGTCACCGTCTGCAGGGCAATTGGTGGGGTAATTGAGCCCCCATTCACACCCGCCTTGGCCTGGCACTGCCCACTCACCTGCTCCACCATCCCACCATGGTCCTGCTCTCGTCTGGGCCCATTGGGGCCGGCAGCACCTCCATTGCCACCTGCTGCCAGCACCACGTCGCCAACACCCACGATATTCCACACCGCCCCCTATGGTCAGCGCATGTCATAGTGTGCGGTCAAACTCCTGGTCAAACTTCCAGTCAAAGGGTCAATTTGCATATTAGGCTTTTATTATATAGGATAGTCAGCATGCTATACATTAGATCTCCATGACTTATTTAGTTTGTAACTGGGAGTTTGCACCTTTTGACTCCTTCACCCTATGGTTTTAAGATAGTAGGATAACTTCTCTGAAGTTGAAAAAGTTCAACCATATTCTTACTAAGGTTCTAAATTTATATGCAGAGGAATTTCTCCATTTATTAAAATATGACTTATTCTTTAGATGTCCAGGGTAACACATTGGGAAAATGTACCCAAAACAAATGCCATAAACACATTACTCAAACAAGCTGCATTAAACAGTTGTTCCCTACTCACGCAGCTAGTCAGAAATTACAACAATCACGTCAGCAAGAAGAACAGCACGCAGCCCTCATTGCTTGAGCATGAGCATGGGAGCAGGGGTGCTCCATGGCGTCCTGGAGCCACATTCTCATTTCATTTCCCACTTTCTCATGCCCATTTCTTTTCTTTCTTCTAGCCCCAAACCCTCTCCTCCCTGAGTCATTCCCCCATTTCCTCAGGGATTCCCCAAATCCCTTTCAGGGAAAAATTACCTTTTCCCTTTCAAATGCTATATTAAATATTATTTCACTTATCACCCATATTGTAAGTAGCCATTACAAATCTGTTTTCGGGCTGCATCTTATGAACCATTGTCTAATATAACAATTTTACATTGTTTGTATAAAGTTGCTATACGACCCATATAGATTGGAATTTGCACTTAGAATTCTATGCATGAGTAGAATAATCTAGTAGACTGACGATGGAATCAAAGTCTAGAATCAAAGTTCCCGAAGCTAATTGCCTTGTCATTGAAGAAATTAATTTATGATCTGTCAGCAGAAGCATGTCTATGGATATCAGCTAGTGAAATGTGGAATATGTAACAAATCCTAAACCCTTGGGGAGGTCTTTGATAATCAAAATCATTACCCAAAGAAGCATAGAGTAAAATAAACCATGTACTTTGTCACTTCCCTGTCACAACTCTAAGCAGGGAGGTTTCATGTTTTCCTATGTTGAAACTCATCCTTTCCTTGTGGTCACAGTGATTTACAAAAGAGAAAGAAAAGAAAAGAAAATCCTAATTCGCAGAGCAGAAAGTGCCCTTTCTCAGATTATCCAAGGAAGCAGGACTATAAAAGCATGGCTTCAAGATTTCCCGTTTGAGGCCTCATGCGAGATGGAAAGTAGCAGTTTGGAAGGCTAGTCCCAGGGCAGCCCAGATCTCCATTGCTGTTCTCATGGTCCCTAGTGTCCCAGGCTTCAGATAGATCTCATCTAGTACATAATTGGATTTATAAGTAACAAACACATTTGGTAACCCTCTCTTATGCTATATGGCTATGAAGAGCACAAGTCTGGGATAATAACGATCCTGATGGGAAGTCCATCTGTCTCTTCTATCCATCATTAAGTATTGGAAGGTTGAATGTTGATTCAATTGAATCACTTATGCATCATTCCTTCTCTTACTGGACAAATACTTATTGAGTCCCTAATATGTAGTCCCCACTGTTTGAACTCTGAGGGAAGCAGTAAAGCCGGTCTCTGCTTTCAAGGGGCTCTTGTTCTAAGGGAAGAGCACAACTGCATTATCAAGCAATTGCCACACACTGCAATAGTACAGGTTCTGTGGTAAAAACAAAAACAAAAAAACACAAATCAGGTGAACTCTAGAAGTCACACTTCTTCTGGATTCAAAACCTACTTCAACTAAAAATTAGCTGTGTGAGCCTGGGCAAATTATATAGTCTCTCTGAGCCGCCATTTCCTCATGTAAAGCATGGGTACCTTATGAGGCTGTTTGGGGGATTAAATAAGATCAAGTATTGTAAAGTAAGTTAGCACATCATAACTACAAATGGCTCTTGCTTTTTATTAGTAGTGATATTATTATTATTATTATTATTATTATTTGCGTTAAGAAACTGGTCCTTGTATGCTTTGTGAGATCATCTTCCTTAGGTTCTCACAGTTTTAAACCTTGGATTATTCAAACTCATGTATAAGTCTCCAGCCGAATGTGCCAGTTACTATGGAAACAAGGTCAGTGTGTAGGAGGAGCTTAAGGGCAATATATTCCTGGCACAGATGGGCAGTGGACAGAAAGAAACAAAATTAGAGACATTTGTGCTTGTACCACCATCCTCTAGCCACAACAACATGACAAGAACATGGAATACTGTCTATAGTCAATGTTCTATGTAGACACGGTGTATACAGGAGAGACTAAGGCAACTACCCACAAAGAACTGTTTTACCTGGATTCCAAAGAAACACCCTGGATCATGTTTCATCTTGTTTACTTATAAGAAAATGTCCCTCTTTTATAATAGGGACATTCTTTCTTCCTGCCTCCTTCGGGTAGCTGCCCTTAAAAAACAGCAGTTAGTGAAAAGTATCCACCAAAAACCCTGCCCTGCAATCTCACTGTAAACACTGCTGTCTATAAGGTAGGATGATGGTGTCCCTCTCATGTTATCAAAATCAGAATTCTCAAACTGTGGTACCCATCAGAACCCTTGGAGGGCTGGTTAAACACAATACCAGTCCCACTCCAGGGTTTCTGCCTCAGTAGGTTTTGGGTATGGCACAAGAACTAACATTTCTAACAAGTATGGGTGCCATATTTTGAGTAGCATAGATTCTAATACTGAAAACAAAACTCTAAAGTCCTCAAAAATAAAAGATTATTTCTTGAAAAGCAAAGGACATCATAGGCAGCCTTTTAAACATTCTACATAGCTCTTAACAATATATTTTCACCATTTTTACAGTTATAGCAAAACTATTGTTCTCTCTACTTCAAAATGTTCTACAACAGCATCTGACTCCATAAATGTTATCAAATTAAGGGTGCTGTCTCTTTCTTTTCCTTCTCCTGGTCTAATTATATGTTCCCTTCATCATTTTTTCTCCACAGGTTCTCCTGACCCTTTATTTCTCTTAAACAGGACTTCAATGTTTAGCCTACATCCTTTTCAAATATCTGCGACATTTTCCTACCACTTTCCTCCCAACTTCTTTCTCCAGGTCCTGCTCTCCCTGAGAAAGCAAAAGGTAGCTAAGGGAAGTACCTACCTTCTATATGTATGACTCGGGGGCAGATTTTTCCTCATATATATTAGGAGAAGTTTTAAAAATCCATCTTTTGAAATTATAGTCAGCCATGTGAACAATCTATGGTTACTGAACTCAACTAAACCTCTCAAACTAAAGCCACATTAATTGCAAAGGAAACAGGCTCATAGATACGGAAGCAGTTTGATGGTTGCCAGATGGGAGGGAGGAGGGGAGATGAAAAGAGGAAGAATTAAGAAGTACAAATTGCCAGTTATAAAAATATTCAGGGGGTATAAAGCACAGGATAGGGACTATAAGTCAAGAATATTGTAATAATTATGTATGGTGTCAGATGGGTACTAGACTTATTGGGTAATCACTTTGTAAATTATATAAATGTATAATCACTATGCTGTATACCTGAAACTAATATAATATTACATGTCAACTGTAACTGAAAAAGAACAACCACATTAATTTCCAAATAACATTCTCAAAAACACATAAATCATGGAAGCTTCTATGCCAGGGGTAGGCAAACTACAGCTTATGAGCCAAGTACAACCTGCCACCTGTTTTTATATAGCCCGTGAGCTAAGAATGGTTTTCACATTTTTAAATGGTTGAAAAAATCAAAAGAGTAATATTTGAATAGGTAAAAATTATATGAGATTCAAGTGTCAGTGTCCATACACAAAGTTTTATTGGAAGATAGTCACACATTTGTTCATGGACTCGGTGGCTGCTTTCACCTACAGCTGCAGAGTTAAGTGGTTATGACAGAGGCCATATGGCCAGCAAAGCCAAAAATATTTACTATCTGACCTTTTAAGAAAAAGTTTGCTGACCTCTACTCTTCACCATTTACTAGGGACCATCATGAGGAAATATATACAGAAAAATAGAGATAGAGATATAGAGATAGAGATAGAGATAGAAATAGAGATAAGAGAGAGATATTGAGATATAATTAAGACAGGTTGGCCATTCCTCTCACTATATGATTTCAGGTGCTTCCAGGTGACACTTATTAAAATAACCACTCATAACCACTCAATGGCAAGGATTTGGAAAAGAGGGAACCCTTGGGCACTGTTGGTAGGAATGTAAATTGGTACAGCCACTATGGAAAACACTATGCAGGTTCCTCAAAAAAATTAAAAATAGAATGAGCAAATGATCCAGCAATTCAACTCCTGCATATATATTTGAAGGAAATGAAATCATTTTCCCAAAGAAATATCTGCAACCCATGTTCACTGCAGCGTTGTTTACAGTAGTCAAGACATGGGAACAACCTATGTATCCATTGACAAATGGATAAAGAAAATTCTATATATGTCACATATATATATACAATGGAATGTTATTCAGCCATTGAAAAGGAAATCCTACAATTTGATACAATAAGGATGGAACATGAGGGCATTATGCAAAGTGAAATAAGTCAGGCAGACAAGTACTATATTAACTCACTTATATGTGGAATCTAATAAAACCAAACTTACAGAAATAGATATCAGATCGGTGGTTGCCAGAGGCAGGGAGTTGGGAATGAAGGAATTAGATGAAGATGATCAAGAGGTACAAACTTCCAGTTACATGATAATTTCTGGGGGTGTAATTAATGTACAACATGGTGACCATAGTTAACCATAGTATATTGTATATTTAAAAGTTTTGAGAGTTGCCCTGACCGGTTTGGCTCAGTGGATAGAGCGTCAGCCTGAGGACTCAAGGGTCCCAGCCTTCATGAAATGGAGATAAGAAATGATAAGACAGCCCCAACCAGTTTGGCTCAGTGGATAGAGCATCCGCCTGCGGACTGAAGGGTCCCAGGTTCGATTTCGGCCAAGGGCATGTACCTTGGTTGCGGGCACATCCCCAGTAGGGGGTGTGCATGAGGCAGCTGATCAATGTTTCTCTCTCATCGATGTTTCTAACTCTCTATCCTTCTCCCTCCTCTCTGTAAAAAATCAATAAAATATATTTTTTTAAAAAGTTGTGAGAGTAAATCATAAAAGTTTTCATCACAAGGAAAAAAACTATAACTGTGTAAAGTATTGAATGTTAACTCATTTCATTATGGTAATCATTTTTCAGTATATACATATAGCAAATCATTATATTATACAATGTTATATGTCAAATTATATCTCAGTAAAACCGGGAAAAATATGATAACCATTCAAGTAAGAACCTGTTAATACTTGCATGTTAATCGACTTCATTAAAAAGCTATAACTTGTCCCTGGACTTGACATTAGATGGGCTGAGTAACATCTGTATCATCTTGGAGACTATAGTATATATTTTGAACACATGTGGGGAAAAGACCAAACCAAAATATCACAGTTCCATCAAGTACCTGTCTTTTTCTATGCACTTCTTGAAGGCCTGCACATTAGGACGAACTACAGGCACGAGGCGTAGGCAGGAGCGGAGAGAATCCTCCTCAGAACCAAAACCGGTGTAAGGTGGAAATTTCCTTTCTATTTTTGGAGGAGATGGAGGCTTGCATGGAATTGAGTTAAAGTCCTCTAGAACAAAGCAAAGGCAAATGAAACATCAATATTATTTTTGTTCTGATTACGGCTGTTTTGAAAGGTTTGTTATGTTTTCAAGATGAACATGAAGATCTTTGTAGACTATTTTAAACTCTCTCAAACAAAACACAGCAAAATCCTGTGAGGGTAGGTTTCAATCATGTTTACAAAAACCACAGAACTCACTCAATAATCGTCATTGGTTCAAAAGAAAAAAAAGAAACTATGTCAAATAAGTAAACATTTCTCTTTTGTTATCACATCCCGTTCCTGAATATTTTTGTTCATCCTGATTTTTCCAGCGATATGAAAATTCAGACTTAGAAATTTATTCCACCCATTCCATATTTTAAGCTGCAGTTTAGCTCTCTCATATCTTTAGTCAACACTCACTAATCGAATTCCTTTCCAAACAAGTTGACTCCTGACTATTCTGCCTTTACCTTTCCCATCCACTGTCCCCTCCTGCTGTACGAACTTTTTAAACCTTCTCCCTTTTCCTCAACTCAACTCCAGGCCACGCCCTTCGCTATCTAGTTAAACAAAAACTAAACTTTTTGTTGCCAACCACTGCTCCAGGTTGCTCTTGCTACTGTCAACAAAAGGACTACAACTGTATTAAAAAGTGTCATTTGTAATTCAAAGAAATTCATGTAAGCAGTGATTTCCTTTTCCATTGTCAAAGTTCTAATAGCTGGAAGAATCCAGATTTAGTGCACACCTCTGTAATTGAAAATGTGCATCAATTTGTCATCCAGGGAAAACTAACTCTTTAAATTAAAGGACATGTTTTATACTGATCAAAAGGTTACGGGTTTGAGGTTATTTCTCATTCTAATTTGAAAAGTTTACATTTCCTTAGACTTCCTCACAGCCTTTGTGTGAACTCCTCCCAAGCATACTCCCCAATATTAATCTGAGAAATCTAACCAAAAGAGGACACATATTGAATAGCAAAGTAACTAAGAATGCATCCTATACTTTCCTGTATGATTGCAGATTTCATAACACAGTGTTGTTTTCTCAACTACATAATTTTTGCAACAGATTTAAGTAACAAAAGAACCAATTTAGTGTTCCTCTGCACCCACAGTGCCATCTAGTGTGTAAAAGTTGAGAACTGTTCCACTCCTTCATGCTTGACTGTTCTAACACCACATACATCTTTTGGGATAATCTGACTCAAAATATCATTTCTCTGGGTAATTGCTTACAACGTTTTGTACTTGCACCTGAATAAGTTTCCTGCTTTTGGTTTTCCATTATCCTGCATTTTTCAGGTATTAAAAACATTTGGTGAACAAATGAAAAAGTATACATTTTTGTACAAAGCATCTTCCCAATTATCTTCTTAAACTGACACTCTGATGGATCTGTGAGACACATCTGTTTTTCAAGTAGTCTGATTCCTCTAGTTCCAAGTGACTTGTAAAAATATGTATATTGAATGTCTATTGACAAATAACTAGATTCCAATAAATTTACAGAGATGTGATATATTTTTCAAAGGAATCTTAATGTTCATTCACAGTGATTTATTATTTGCCATCTCAGTTGGAAACAACACGAGGAAAAGCCTTCAATTACCTCAAAGTAGATTTTGTATGTTCTAGTGACACAGATACAGACCCAGGTTTAAGGAGGCCTAAAGCTTAAATAATTTGGAGAAGCTCTTCAAGACAAAGAATGACAAATTATTAAGACAAAATTAGGCCCAGGGTTTTGGACTGGAGCCCCTGCAAAGGAAGCAGCCTAAAACTTCATATGCATGGACTTTAGTAACTTCAAGGAAAATCTACCTCTACTTGTACGCAATGCCTAGGTCAAATGATTTTGATGGGTTGTTCATTTTGAAGTCAAATGATTATCAAATCCCACAGCTTCCTAGCTCTAGCTAAAAATGCTTGGAAACCATCTAACCCTCAATCCTCTTCCCTTCATAAGGGAGGGAAAAGAGGTAAAAAACTGTTAACTTGCCCTAACCGGTTTGGCTCAGTGGATAGAGCGTCAGCCTGTGGACTGAAAGGTCCCAGGTTCGATTCCGGTCAAGGGCATGTACCTTGCTGCGGGCACATCCCCAGTAGGGGGTGTGCAGGAGACAGCTGATCAATGGTTCTCTCTCATGGATGTTTTTAACTCTCTATCCCTCTCCCCTCCTCTCTGTAAAATTCAATAAAATATATTTTAAAAAACTGTTAGCTCCATTGAGGCCATATAATGAGACTAGAATTTCATCCCTGTCACCGTATCTTGGGATGGCTAATTTGCTCAAATGATCATTAAACTCTCATCTAGGATGTCCTGCTGTTTCTAGCAGCAGGAGTTCAGAGATGACTAGAAGTGACTCCACATCAAAGTTGCTTTAAGTTTTCTGCTCCTCCTTAATGTCAGCACGATCTATTCAGTATTGATGGGCAATGGGAATGAATGGTCTTGTTACTAGTTGGGTTATCCCAGCCGCTAAGAATTAATAATAAGAAAGTCTTCTTATAGACACACACACACAAAAAAAAAAAAAAAAAAAAAAAAAAAAAAAAAAAAAAAAAACAAGGAAAGAATTCTAAGCACAAACAGTTTACATTCAAATCCCTGTCCCTTCGGTGAAAGAAACACTTGCTGGAGCCTCTGGAGCCTTTTCCAACCTTCATGCTACAGGAAAGTCTGACAGGTCTCCATCTGCCAGTCCGTGTTCATCCACATGAAATAATGAGGGAGTAATATATTATAGCCCACAGGCAAGTACGGGCCAGTGGGATGACCAAGCTTCCTGGGGGGGGGGGACTAGAGGGGTCACACTAGACTATTTTGTGGAAGAATTCTATGGAATCACCTTCTCCTTAGAAACCTTAAATGCATGAAAAATCTTATCTTTTTAATAATCAGATTGGGTTTTGCATGGGGGTACAGAGATCTCTTGGATTCCTATCAAGCCCTCTGCTTCTGTGTAAATAGAAAGTTTACTCAAGTACCTTTCTTGAGACTGTGGCCAACTCTTTCTCTTAGTCTGTTTGCCATTTTTTCCCCCAAGTATGTTGTGGGATCATTAGTTAAGAGAAAGTACTAAGCACCAAGGTTTCACAATGCATTTGAAATCTCTCCCTGGCTTCCTCTTCGGGAGACCCCTATCTGTGTTGTTGGCACTTGTCAGGGACTTCCTGTGGCACTATAGAATGGAGACACCAGGTATTCCACTGACCACAATTACAGACAAGGAGGAAATGTAACTACAATTATTGATGGGACTTTGTCCTGGTTTGGGCATCAAGAACACCAAAATATACTGTATAGAATTTAGAACCAGATTAATTATAAACAAAATTAAATTGTCAAAGGTAACTAAGTCACATTAAGTATATTCATTTAACCTTACCAAAAAGTCAGGAAAAGCAAATGTAAAGATTATGAGATTATTTATTCATTGCCCACCTACCCCACATCACGGATATAATTTCTAGTCATTAGTTACATTAAGCACACTGTTGTTACTCAAGAAATGTTGTGTAATAATAGTGTCTGCTAAATGGGAGATTTTAACATATGTTATGAGAAATATAAAAAGTCAGCATGACTATAAAATGCATCACAATTTGCATTTGCATAATTTTCTGTTCAAATGCATAATGCTCATATTATATTAGTCTTAAAGGCATAAACTACTTTTTATATGAGTTTATATAGTGAAATCTTAACTAGAGAACAAAGATTCTAAGTTTTCAATATTATTTTCTAGTTGACAGATGTATCACTTACGAATTCCATATTTAGTCCTATAATAAGCCTTCGTAAATTCATCACAGTCACAAAGGAGCACTTTTCTTCCCCACACATTGATGGTGGCTCCTATTTTCAGGTCAGTTTCTTTGTAAAACTCTTGTTCTAATTTTGCCTCCTAATGAAAACAAAGGAACACAACACTGGCAGCACAAACCCTCCACAAATCTAACCCTTCCCAAAAGAAAAAAAACTAAAAAACTCAATTATATCATTTACAGCCAAATTTTTAAAATCAAACCAAAAGACTAGTCGAGACTAACTTTAAAAAAAAATTTTTAGCAATGTAGTGCTACCCAACAACAATGCAAAGCATATATTTACATATGCACTTAAGCATGTTTATTATTGAAAAACAGCAATGCAATGTATACACTTATTAATTTCACTCACAATCAAGCTCACCAGAGAAGAATATGTAACTCCCCCCACATTTCAGGTTCCAGGGATGTCACATTGCAAACAGTAATAAAACATAAGGTTCCTCACCTTGTATTTATCAAACAGGTAGCCATGCACTCGGCTTACTTTATAGCCATTATACACATTGAGAACTATTTTATCTGTTACGTCTCCTGGTTGATGGGCTCCAGTTGGGGCATACTGGAAGACAAAAACCAAAGCAAGCTGTGGTAGATGGTCTCTAAATACAAAAAGGGGTTCAAGTGGGAAATATGCATTAGATGGTTCTTCGCTGCCATCCGCACGAAGACAAGACATTGGGGACAAACTTTATCTACCTGTCCCTGTGCTTCCTCACCCCCTGCGGGCTGGTCTATCCTCCGCCCACCCACCAATGCCCTGCGAAGCCTCCTATTTCCCCATAACCTCTCCCATCCTACTGGCCTGTCCCTAATTCAATGCTCCATAGCACCTACCGCAGGATGAAACCACTTTTTGTGGTTCTCTAGTTGCCTCATCTTTTCCCTTCACTGAACTACAAACCATGCCTTGCCTTCTTTTCTTTACTCTGCTTAGCACCCTGCTGGATCCTGAACCCAAGAGGCATTTGCTGGCTGAGAGAGACAGTGTGGTGAGAGAGCAAGAGCAACAGAGAGTGGTCGGCTTCGAACAGAAACCATGGCCTGGAGAGAGCCAGAACACTCAGTTCTACATGCACTGGAGGTGTCCAAGCAGTTGCATAAGCTGCAGGAAATACCTTCATTAGCTAATAGATTCACAGTGATCAGTTTATCATATACAGATGAGAAATCTGAATTATCTCTGATACATATGACATAATATGTAAGTGCAAATGTGTGAATGTATTATGTATGGGGTATAAGTAAGCCACATAACATAGGAAAATAGTACATTTGGACACAAATTCTCTCTTCACCGCTTACTAGCTACAGGACTGGGGCCAGGTTTTTATCTTCAGTTTCATGTAACTACAACAATAGTACTTATTTCTTGATTTCTCAAAAGATGTTGAAAGTGCCAGGGGAACTCCTACCACTACTATATCTTTCCCCCATGAGGATGTATGCTCCATGAAGCAGGACTTAATCCACTTTCTTTCTCACTGTAACCCCAGAGCTGACATACAGTTGACAATAAATATGTGTTAAATGAATGAATGAAGCAATCGATGTCCAGACACACTGCAAATGTCAGGTGTGTCATTAATTATTTTATAGTCAGCCTATTTTTCAAAGCCATTCTAAAAACAGGCTTCCCAGGTGTCTCGTGACCACCTGCTGTCCATACTCCAGAGCTCCCTCTGAGACAAATCCTGCCGCTACCACCACCACCACCCCTCGCAGCAATACTGCAGGGCTTCTGGCTATGGGCTCAAAGAATCTGAAAGAGCCTCCTGTTTAGACCACATAACCAGTGATTGTTTGCATCAGAAATGGGTGTTACAGTAAACTCTTCAGTAGCATTAAGAATTAAGTTTAAAAATATTTTATGCAAATAAGAAATACAATGTAATATAGAGCTGTGAAAAAAGCCTGTATGTTGTTGTGTCCTCATAGGTGTTTAGAGGTCCTTAGGTAGTGTTTTTTACTATGTTACCTCATTCTATCTTTACAGTTATCTCAGGATGGAGGCCTTGTTAACTATATTTTAGAGATAAGGTAATACACTCAAAGAGCTTAAGTGACTTGCCCAAGATCACACAGTCATAAATGTAGAACCATAATTCTAACCCAGGTCTTCTATATTTGTGCCATTTCTGGCTGTACCCAAGTTATGTTAGCTCTCAACTAGCCATACATATGTGTATAAATAAGACTGATAACTTTTTAATAGCAAATAAAATGCAAAGCTGTCACTACTGCTAGCCATTGGCTAGTTGGTGATTGGTGGTTACTCTCAGAAGAGTCACTCCGGTGTGTGTGTGTGTGTGTGTGTGTGTGTGTGTGTGTATACACATTCACAACATACACCAATACCATGGGACCTCCTCAGTAGGATACAGAAGCCAAAGATCAATGTCCCATTCAAGGCCATAAGCCATTTTTTGACTAGAGAGTCATTTGCCTTCATAAGACTGTGAACTCAATATTGAATAGGTAATTTCTCAGGCATTTGACATTTTCCCTTGATTTGCCTTATACCCAGAATATTCCAACTCCAATCTGTCATATCCTCTGCATTACTTTCCAAGATGTATATTAATATAGGGCACAAAAAAATGAAAGTTTTCTAAACTCTTGCAATAATGTATGGTAACTGTCATCACATAGTCATAACACATGACATTCCAGTGACTGACTAGAGCAGCCGTGGGCAAACTATGGCCCGTGGGCCGGATCCGGCCCGTTTGAAATGAATAAAACTATTGAAAAAAAAGACCGTACCCTTTTATGTAATGATGTTTACTTTGAATTTATATTAGTTCACACAAACACTCCATCCATGCTTTTGTTCCGGCCCTCCGGTCCAGTTTAAGAACCCATTGTGACCCTCGAGTCAAAAAGTTTGCCCACCCCTAGAGTCTCTCAGCCCACAAGCAAACTTGGAAAGTGGTTCTGTGTCCACCACGCACCTTGGGCAGCTTTCCCCTCTCGAGGAAAAATGGCATAGGATCCCGGCCTGAGTTATGGGGCAGCAATTCTTTGATTTCAATAGTACCATCATACAAGAAGTAATGCAAGATGAGTTGTCTATAGTCCCCAAAAACTGAGCCGGAGTCATCCCACATGCAGTAGAAGCGCAAAACCTTCCCCTCATAATTAAGGAAGTCTTTCAGGGTGTCGAAGTATTCATAGGAACGTAAAGGCTGCACGAAGTCTAGTATCTGAAAATGAAAAAAAGTTTCATAATAGTTGTGGTTTGGGCATAAGCACCTCTGAGATACAAGCAATCAAAGAACATAAAGATATATTTTCCATAGACTAGTCTATAATTTATTTTTTTATTTCAACTAACATTGATGTATAACCAATTTTATATATATAAAATATATATTATACCCAGTACATATAACCAGTTTCAAGCTTAAAAATATAATCAAGTATCAGGAAGATTTTATCATCCTCAGTAGTGTGTGTGCAGGAGGCAGCTGATCAATGTTTCTCTCTCGATGTTTCTAACTCTCTATCCCTCTCCCTTCCTCTCTGTAAAACATCAATAAAATATATTTTTTTAAAAAGAAATGACAAAACTAATGCCTTAATGAGCATAATGTCATTGTAATGACATAGTGACAGAAATTAGAACAGCAATTGCCCCTTGGTAGTGAATTGACTGGAAATGGGAACTAGGGAACTTTCAGGGGTGAAAGAAATATTTTACATCTTGATTTTCATGTTAGTTACTAAGTTGTACACATTTTTTGAAACTTGTTGATCTACATGCTTAACATCTATACATCTATGCTAATTATATCTCACTTTAAAATTATCTTTTTAATGAAAATTCATATCTGTATATTCTCTTACTCGTCCAAAGGTTTTTGTGAAGGTAAAAGGGAAGAAATATATTCATGGTTTTATTTTGCTCAAAAGCTTTAGATATTGAGAATCTGAAAGTACCATGGAAACAGAAGCAGAACAAATGGAAAACTTCCCAGTCGGCACAGAACCACTGCCTGGGTTCTGTCCCCCAACCCAGGAACCACTAGCTCTGCAGTCTTCTTGGTGCGGCTCTTTTGCATTTGTACGTTCCCAGCCCAGTCTTGGAGCAAAACTGGTCTGCTCTATCTAATGCAGCCAAATAGAATTGGAAGTGCTCATTGGCAAGGGAGATGTAGTTTCACATCAACTTACGTAATCTGCTGTATCAATTCTCAAAATTTTGTACCTGTCCAGGACAGTCTACATGCAGACTTATCCCAAGAAATGGAGGCAGACATAATGGCCTTTCAGAGGCTCTCCAGTATTATCTGTGATGATTAAATGAAATTATGAGACCTCTACTTTCATTGATTGGAAAAATATTTCTTCAGCATTATTAGGCCTCTAAGACATGTATTATTGATTATATAATATTGGGGCTCTTTTCAGTTTAAGTTAAATTATTTTGTTTTGTTTTTAATTCTCACCCGAGGATACTTTTCCACTGACTTTTAGAGAGAATGGAAGAAAGAGGGAAAGACAGAGAAAAATATTGATGTGAGAAAAACACATTGATTGGCTGCCTCCTGTACGTGCTCTGACCAGGGCCTGAGCCCGGGAAGAGCCTGCAACCTAGGTAAGTGCCCTTGACCGGAATCAAATTCGGGACTGTTCGGTCCACATGCCAATGCTCTATCCACTGAGCAAAACCAGCTAGGGCAAGTTAAATTGTTTAAATTTAACTTTATATTTTAATGCAGCAAACACTGGAGAAGTAAAAGCATTACAGTCAATATAAAAGCCTCTTATTAAACTCCTAATTTTCCACAGATTTCTATATCTATTAAAGAACTTTCTCCCCAAGGGAATAAATGCTAAAATGATTCTCCCAATCTGAAAGGAAATTACTTAAAACATTTCTAGGATGCTCTTGGTATTTATTCTCAATTCTTGGCACAAAAGAATTTTTTCTTTATAAATCTATGAAATTGCACAGTGCTCTATGCATTTCATATAATGCATCATCATTCACAATCATTATCATGTAATCACTACCAACTATTAACTGTTAGTGAATGAATGCAGCCATATGTAAAGGGTGATAATTCATATGGATCCATTTCTTTTATGTTCTTACTGTTGGTTCTAAAGACATATTTATCTAGACTCATCTAGGACATTTAGAAAAAATAACAATGAACCAAAACCACAAATCTCCTTGCATGCCAATATACACAGGAATAATGCCACAAAGATTTCACCTTGGATACTCCAGGATCAACAATATATATTTTTCAGGGGGGTTGTATGCCTACAACATTAAAGAATAATTCTGCTGGGGCTAGAAGGCAAGAACAGATGAATGATTCTGCATGCAGCTTTTAACAAGAGATCAAAGCAGAATCAAAAGAGGAAGGGAAAACTAAGATGGCGGCATAGATAAACACCGGGAAATTGCTGCCTCCCACAACAATTGAATAATACTTCAAAAACACAAAATGGACATCTTCCAGAACTACAGGAAGGCTGGGTGAGTGTAAATTCTACAACTAGAAGGAAAGAAAAGCACACTGAG